TGATTTCTCTATTTTAGTCTGAACCCAATAAGATACTTAAGAGGTAAAATAAATTTCTACATTTGCTTCTGTCTTTATAAATCACTGTAGAAAATGTTATTTTGCATAAAAATCTGCAGTCTACTCATAACATTTTAATCGTCGTTGTAAGAGTGTATTGACAAGTCATTTTGACTTGCTTGGTAGTTCTAGTGTTAAATTCTAGTGTGTCCCTATCGTTGCTCCCGGTGTTGAGCATTAAAACGGTAACAGATAAAATCACTATGGAGCACGGAGATTCTACACGGTAATCCCTTTGTCGTAACCTCATGAATATGTATGGCCACTTTCGTCTGCAGCGCGGTAACTCGGAATCTGGGTATGTGGAACGATCTTCCTTTCGAGATAAATCGATAAACCGTTTCCCATTATGTAAGCCGTGGGTGTTTTATCAACGGATGATGTTCGGAGCATGATTAATTCCCAACAGTTTTCTTATCGTCGCGGCTACGTCTGGAGTAACGTGTGACGATAGACGCGTACGTCTATTAATCGTGACAGGACGCCATTTTGTTGGTGGTCGTAGATGGCAGCAGGAAAATTTCGAAATTTCACCGTCAACCGGTGAGTTTGGAATTGAATATAAAGGAAAAAGGTTATTGGGACAAAGAAGACAGGCGTGATCCACGGCACGGAGTTTACGCGAGTTTGGAAATTGTCCGTTGTGCTGATTGCAGGGACCGTTTCTGCGTTGCGATCGCAGCCAAAAAATGGCGAAAGCAGGAGCCGGGAATGTGGGTCAAGGACGGTGACTCGAAATGTTTACGCGTTCTCATCAGCGATTCCGAGTCGATTCGGTCGATTAAAAGTTTGAAGGGCGTAACGTAATAATGTTAATTTAGCTACTACTTTCTATTGCGTAACACGAGTTGATTGGACTGATAGAGACATAGGGTATTGGCGGAGGTTGTCGCGGTCTGTAGGATTTTACGAATCTTATTAAAAGCCTGCGGACAACCTGGGCTGCGCGTGCGACTTCAATTTCACTTTCACTTCGATTGCACTTTATACTCCTTCGGTCTTGAAAGACTGTGTTTATGTTGCCCTAACGTCTCTGGTGCAGAGTTAAAACGCTGGATTTTCAGGGGATTTAAGAACATCCGAAGATGGCAAGGGTTTTTGAACACTCCATTTGTTGGGGATTTTGGGGTAATTTGAAAGTGTTTACAGAGCGTTGCAGAGACCTCCAAACTTCTGGGTGCTTCGAAGTGTTAGTTCTCTGAGACCTATCCTTTAGTATTACCAGACCTTGATGACTTTTGTAATCTCTTGGTGTCCTTGCTATTCATGGAATCTGTGGAATCCTCTCATATTTCTTGTAACCGTAGAACATCCTTGAATCATGGCCCTAGTGTCCTCAGCAGAACTTTCAGACCCTATTTTCCTTCGATTACCTCAGTACTGTTAGGATCCCTGACTATAAACGTTCATTTTGTCTATTGTACCCCTAACGGCAAACAGCATAAGTTTGTATAATAAATCGTGTGATTTGAAATATTATGAATGTTTGCATTCTGTTACTACGATTGTGTGGAGTCATATATGTAATTAATAACTTTTCATGGCATAAACATGATTCACTCCAGGAACAAAGAAATGTATTACCTTAGTAACTAAAAAAGAAATGATATCAATTGTATTCTGGAAGCCAAACAGAATAGACCTATATTATATTAACTAGTAAAATTGTATTCAATTTCATTTTATTAAACGTTAAATCGATATTCTTAAATTATAATTATATTAAAGTTGAGTAATTAATTTCACCAATTTTCGCCTCAACAATACAAACAAACCCTAAGACTATGAAGATAGCTTCATACACGACAGTAATTTACATACTAAGAATCATCTCGAGCAAACCGTTCATCTGCGGAAACACCACAATTTATAAGTCAAATTGTCAATTAAATCGTGTATGCAATATCCAAAGCGAATGAATCCAATTTAATAGCAGCACGTACGACTGTCTATCGCAAGTGTTGAACGGAACATTATAATTGAGCTTCATCAAGCATCTTCGTTATCGAAGTCTCCGTGAAAATTGCTAGATGTACCGTGGTGAAAGGTCCAATTTAATAGGTGACATTCCTCGTCGTTCGTTACCGTAACGGTTCCATACCCGTACAACGAATTCATTCCCCGTGTCTTGTCACGAGACGAGTGCAACGCCTACATCACGCTACAGTTCGTTCCAGTAACTTCAGTACAGAAGTCACGGATCTGGCGTAACGACAGGTCCAGGTCCGTTTTATCCACTTCCGTTGCACTATTCCAGAGGTCACGCTCCTATAAGAACGATCACATGTTACCGTATTAATCGACACTACGAAGTTACGTTCGTTGTCCACAGCAATCTTCCTATTGTCGATCCCTCGTTGCAACTGCTTCCAATTTCTCTTCGATCAAACTTTCGTCCACCGTTACGCCGTTAACATTGTGACAAAACAGGCCACAAAAAGGCAATGTCTCCAGTCTGATATTCGCAACAATTATAAAATATATGCACGCGATTACCACAGAGCAAAACCACTGACCGAGGCAACCGCGTAATTGTCAGCGTTCCCTTGAGACAGAAAAGCCACGCTCGACGAGTAACCGCCGCAACCGATGTGTCTCCAAAGGCTAAAGAATCCCGTCGCCAGGACAAATGCCAGGTTGGAAGAAGTCCAAGGGGCTCAACCTTCGCGTGTTGTGCGATCCACGCATGACTGGAACCGTTTAACGACGTCCGGAACCTTGCTCTTGGAACACTTCGCGCAGAAGAAAAAACTACGAACACGATCGAGGGGTTCACCTTCGACCGCTTCGTTAAAGTGATTCTAATGCGTTATTAAGATTACCGTTTCCATGGTACGACTTGTACGCCCGACAATACGGAAATAGGCTGGGTGATCGACGGGTTTAGGCACGCGTTCCATTGAACACCACAAGCGGACAAATGACAGTCCGTTTCTGAGCAATACCGTTAACACCCACTGGCATATAAATCGCAGCCAGCGTGCATAGCAATCAATCGCCGTCACTTGGGACGTATATCGAGATGTACAGGTTCGCCAGCACGCGATCAAACGTATCCGTGTAAACCACTGCCTCGACGGTGGTTTGTCATCCTGATCGCCAGGAAGATGATCATCAAGAGCCTCGTAGGGTAGGGAAATGATCCTCGATAAGTGGACGATCCACTTTGCTCTTCTCTCGAAAGGGTTACACGGAGAACCCCAAGATAGACCGAAGGTTTTCGTCCGACGATCAGGTGGGGATGAAGGCCGCACACTGCCTCGTGCAAATGCCTCGACAACGTACACCTAGACCTACAAAACGAGATTACTCGGGGCTATCTACCAGCAGCCCGTTGCGTCGCGTGTGTACGAGTGCACTGGTCGACAGACGCCGCGGATTACGAGTGGAGAACGCATCTCCTGCTGCGGTCTGAAACAAGTATCATCGCTCGATCGAGAGGTATCTTGCTTGGTCATTTACACGGTAGATTTGTCTGTCTTTTGGCAATGATCGGCTGTTAATAGAGTGTATGTGTTGTTACCGGTGCGATGAACACGCGTGATTGATGGTCATGTTTCTGAAGTCAGTGTTCTGCAGGTCGTATAGTGTTGTCTCGTTTGCTGTGTTCGAATAATTTCTCGACTTCGTGTGATATTAGTAGATTGGTGAAACGCGCCACTACGTTTTTTGTAACAGTTCGCGTTTGTTGAAAAATCAAGCTGCTTTTTTTATTTAAACGTAAAACGATGCTGCACTATTCAGACAGGGCTAATTAGTACTATCTTCGTCAAGGGGGTAGTAACATTTATTAATCTCCCGATACCATTGACATAGAACAAAATTCTTTAACATTCTTATTACTACCATAAGCATGTCAAAGAATATCAAACAGCGTTCTGTACCAGTAATACCTCCGCACGACATACACTCGCGAGCAAACTCGGCTTCCACTAGGAGAAAAAGTGATGTAAGAAAAAGATTTTCTACCACTGGGTGTTGGGAATTATTGAAATTTCTGCCAAATGATCACTAAATTTAACATTTATTTCAGTACCTGGAATAAATTTACCAAGTGCTAGGAGACTATTCTTCTACGCCGCTTTTTCCCCTAGCGGAAGCCGAGTATGCTCGTGGTTGTACACTGACGTTTAAACTCGGCTTCCGCTGGGGGAGGAAGTGACGTGGAAGAAACGTCTCCTACCACTTAGTAAATTTATTTCAAGTACTGAAATAAATGTTAAACCGAATGTTAATTAGTTATAAATTTCAGTAACTCCCAAAACTAAATGGTAGCAGGCCCTTCGCCAACTTCACATTTTCCTTTAGCGGAAGTGACGTAGAAGAAACGTCTCCTACCACTTCGTACATTTATTTCAAGTACTGAAATAAATGTTAAACCGAATGTTAATTAGTTATAAATTTCAGTAACTCCCAAAACTAAATGGTAACAGGCCCATCGCCAACTTCACATTTTCCTCTAGCGGAAGTGACGTAGAAGAAACGTCTCCTACCACTTCGTACATTTATTTCAAGTACTGAAATAAATGTTAAACCGAATGTTAATTAGTTATAAATTTCAGTAACTCCCAAAACTAAATGGTAACAGGCCCATCGCCAACTTCACACTGGATAAATGTTAATAAATGTTAAATTTTAAAAAATTTTAAAAATTAACGTACTGAAATAAATGTTAAACCGAATGTTAATTAGTTATAAATTTCAGTAACTCCCAAAACTAAATGGTAACAGGCCCTTCGCCAACTTCACATTTTCCTCTAGCGGAAGCCGAGTTTGCTCGTGGTTGTACATTAAAATCACCGAAGTTCATAGACCCGGTAGCAAACAAGTCAGAAGGTCGTCAGGGTGACCAGAACATCGTTTAAGGCGTCTTAGTGGGCAGTCTGACAGCAAGTTTTTTCTCATCTTCCAGGTGGCACCACCACAGCCAGCTGCAAGAGATGTGGTCACGAACGCGTTTCTTGGTCCTGGCGTGGACGCTCGGTTTGCTGGTGGCGGCTAGGGTCAGCGACGGTTCCCAGAGGCCTCGTCTCGGCGGCGCTGTGAATATCTTCAGCCGTTACGGTTACCTGAGCATCAGCATGAGAGTGTTGCCCAGAAACGACACGGACACCTGGATATTCCGTGAACCGACCCTGGACGTTTTCACGAATCCAGTTTCGGCGGTTAGCCGACAACGACAGCAGACAGCAGTCTTCGATGGTGACTTCCATATGGAGTTCTGCGACAACATCCGTCAGCTATTGCAGGCGTACTTCCGGGATTTCACGTTCGAGAGACTGGAAAGGCCGTGGCGCGCGTTCACCGGCAGCTGGTCGAAGGCGGCAATCGCCAGGCATCTGGGAATAAACGCCTCCTTCATCACCGGGGAGCATTGCTACGTGCTGGTCCGAGTCGCCAGGTTCCGGGAGAACCAGAAACTGGCTGGCACCGCCGAGTCGATGATCCTCGACGAGGCGGTTTTCCGGGAAACGAAGAACGTCACGGTCGGCGACACCGCGAGCGTCGTTCGATTCATCAAGAACTTCGGCTCCCACTATATCGCCGGCTACGTTACTGGCAATTCGTTGTATCAGGTAAGGATGGTTCACGTGAGAGTGTTTTAAGAACGCTTTTACGTGACAGTAAGGCTTCTCGTCATAGACGCTTCCTAGACATTTGACGCTTGCAGGACGCTTTCATGTAGCGACCAATGTAAAACAATGGACGTGTGTCCACATATACTTCAGCGTCGCGTTTTCGTCGCTGCAGTTCGGAATGAAGCGCGTCGTCAACGATGTCTGCTACTGGGCGTATAGAAGGACGCAAAATTTTCATTTGTGTTTGAGTGTGAAATATGTCTGCTGTGAAATTCGTACAGATTGTTGAAAAGTTACCCATGAAATATAAAAAAACAAATAGAAAAAATAAAAAAAATACCCATGTTTGTACATGGCTAACACAAGTTTTTTGTTTTTGGATCAGCGGAGCTACCAAACGCACTAAATTCTTGCACGTATTTTTATTCATTCTATAGAAAGAATGAAATACAAGATCATCTTTCGCTAATTATACTGCAGCAACAGTCTACAATTTATGTTATTTTCTATGTAAGGATGTAACCAATATCTTTTCCGACTTTTACGCCGTCGAATATAATTACATAAGGCGATAACGTCCTCTTCGTCGCTGGACATCTTTGCGAATGAGGAAAATTAAGTTTTCTGTACGCTTTCGATACGCTCAAGTAGCGTAATCGTCATGTTGTACGCTACGCTGACGTATCTATAACGAGGCGCCTTAGTGGACAGTATGTCTAAATCGTGTAATCCGTTTTGCATTAAATTTTGATACGCAATTGTGGATACCGGCCTTTAGGTCGTCCCCGTTAAAGGCGGCACGACAAGGTTGCTCAATGTGATTTAAGAGTCGACGGGGCGGCCTCTGAATCCGAAACGTTTATCTCTCGTCGTTAAAAGTTCCTGATAAATGTTGCGCTCCGGGGACCCGTTCGGTTTATGGCGCGTGCAACCACACTTTGCATCATCGTATTCGCGGTGGCAGAAGGTTGCATAAGTTTTCTAATTGAAATTCATATCTGCACGACTCGGGGAGCCCGACACTTTATTAATTGTTCATGTCCTTGCCGGTGGGTCTTGCGGAAAACTGTTTTGTTGCGCTCGGTACTGGATCTTCTCGGGAGATCCGCGCAATTAGTCTTGCACGCGTAACAATAATCATGTTGTATCTTCGTACGATCTTGTTCGGGTGTCTCGTAGAGAAGATAAACGACTTTTAAGATTCACGAAGTTTCTTGCTTCGGGGCATCCTTCTGAGAATCAATTTTCAAATATCTGCAGCATAGCTAAACGCGAACCGATAATTACAATCACGTTGAATCCATAAATATTTTCTTCTTCGTGTGATTTATAGGATTCATAGGTCACTGGTTTCCAACTTTATTTTCTGTTTTCACCTAAAAATTGCTTCCGTGTTTCCTGATGATTTTATGCATCTATAGCTTCCCTTAATTGTTTGAAATTCAGTATATTATTTTTTTTTTTTTTCATTTTATTAAAAACGATCACGATTGTTCCAGGTGTTCGTCTACACGCCCCAAGCGTACCTGCGCATAAAGGAGCGCCTGAAGACACGCGGTGTGGCGAACCTGTCGAATTTCGAGTTAAGTAATTACTTCTCGCCGTGGTACGCCGAGCACATCGGCGCGATCCAAACGGCGAGCGGAAACCGCACCGTGGAGGCATGGGCGGTGGAACGACTCCGTAATCAATGTTACATATTCTCACATGCCAGCCTGCTGAAATTGCACGGGGACGCGGTCTTGTTGAAGCAGCTCGATGAGCTGCTCGGCAACGAGGCGCTGTTGCAGCTGCAACTGCGGACGCTGGCGCCGATCTTCAACGACACACAGCGACGCGAGTGGTTCCTCGAGGTGATCGACAATTACTTTAAGTTATGGGAAGTGAACATGTGAGAGGACGTGTGTGCGGTTGTTTTTCGAAAGGAACACACAATAACCAAGAACACACAGTGGTCTTCGTTTCACTATTGTGGGCCCGATCCGTACACAGGAGGACCACAACGTAGCCCATGCATTTACAAAAAGACGAAGACGGGAGGAAGCGTCGATGACTCCGACGTAGACAAATCGTCTGTGGTTTTATAGCGATCACAGCTCCTTGGATCGTCGAGGTCCACTCAGAAAGTTCACTATTATTTTCCGTCGAACGGATACTAGGATATAATAGAGAAACGGCCAACTGTCACGTTGTTATAAATAAGTATTTATTATTATAATCGATAATAGAAAACATTTTTATACAAACGTTTTAAATATATCACAAGCATTTTTCGCAAAAGTGTCTTTGACTGAAAAATAAGCGACGTCTTGTTTCTCTAACTATTGATGTGCTTTTTCGACGAACGGCGTAACCGCTGATCCGATTCGGTTGTTCCGAATGGTGTTCGGATAGATAAAGAGACAAGACTCGCGAGTTTTTCTCTTCTGTGTTTGAGTTTGATTTAGTTTTCTCGAGTGAGGTGAGTTTTGATCGATGCACCGGATTCATGAGGAAATAAATATACACAGAATGTGTTTTGAAATAAGTTTTCCGACTTACGAAGTCAAGGGCGTTTTCGGGTAGAGTTTAAATGAATCGATATAAATATTGAATATGAATAAAAAGAATGTTAGTGTGTACCTTCTTTAGAATGTGAAAATTCACTTCATTGGCACGGTGAAATGACTCATGAATGACTTATGTTAGTTAGTCAGTTTGATTGAAAGTGAAATGTTATGTGTTATTTTTACTTTCTATGGTTTTTTTTCAATGTCTCACCCTCTTTGTGTGAGAACACTTGTTATAATAAAAATAGTAAAAATAAAAACACAACACGAATACGACAAGCAATTTTATATCAATGTCACTGAAATGTATATTATTTGAAGATTGAAGAGTAAAGAAAAGTGTATTTTAAAAATCAGTATTTTTGTACGTAATTCAACTGTATTATGTATAAATTATATTGTAACTGACCTTTAACCGAAAGAAGAGAACTATAAGAACCTGAACCTCTTAATTTTTATAAAACCTGATAGACACGTAAAACGACTTGCCATTAAAATTTATACATTGTATATTAGAATTAAATTATTTTCTAATTGTTTTAGGTGAAAAATCATTTAAGTGATTACTAACATAAAATATTTCAGGTTCTACAAGTTCCTGCGTGAGTTAACATATTATAAAAAGAAACGTAACGATACTTACGTGATGTAAACTTCCGTGTAAAAAACAAATGATGTAAAACGTCTTTAAAATTTAATTGTCTCCAACTTGAACGATATCTTCCTACGTGAACGCGTAACAATACAAGTATATCCGCCAATCCTCAGCGATATTGACTGTGGTATGGATATATAATTCTATGAATGTAATAATACTTGGACTCAAAATTCAAATATCACATCGTCTATTGACACACTTTCTCAATCGGATTACTGGAAAGTCTCCTAATCGACTGTATTTCGCCGTAAATCATTGATAGTTTGTGCTCAGTCGGTCTTGTTAAAAGTACGAAAGTTTGCGGAGGCTTGTTGCTCCCTACCTAATTTTCGGCCGTTAACAACCAATATGACTGGTGTTTCAACTCGTATAGATTTGAAGTCGAAGTCCTGAAACATAACATAAATTATGTTGCATTTAACTATAATATTGCAGCGATATGTACGTGTTTATACTTACATTATTAAGGTAGGAAAATTTTTGGTGGATAACAAAGGGTTCAGGTATAGCAACAGAATCTCCTACGGTAACACCACGACCTTTAGCCAGGTTGTATACTGTTACAGCAATACACGTTTTCTCTTCGTCAACAAGACAAAAAGCGCTGAGAAGTTATGTATTTATTAATTCAGATAATTCTTATTTGTCAGTGTTTGTTTTTAATCAACATAAAATATACTTACAAAGGTACAGAATCAGTATCTTGTATCCAACATACTACTTTCCCGAATACAACTTTCTCTGGATTGACTCCAACAGCTAGATCTTTTAGCATTATTAAGTCTAATTTCACGGTTTTCTGACCGGACGTATAAGAGCCACCTTTGTATGGTCCCAAATGCTTAGCATCCAATGCCTACATTTAATCAGAAACCTATAAATATGTATATGCACCAGAGTCATACTTTAAGTTTGATAAATTTTACATTTATACAGTCTTAAAAGATGGAAAGTATAATAAAATCATGTTTCAGATTATACGGAAAATGTATTACTAAAAAAAATTCTAGATACCCGTATCATTTGGTACAATCTCTTCGGTTTCACTCTTCCGTTATTGTTCACTAAATTTTGTACATCTCGTAAATATTGTAACAATTCATCCCTTTTCATAGGTGGTGTATCCCACACTGGATCTAATAACATTGCTCTTTCAAACGATTGCAGTGCTGCACAGTACTCTTCTTGATACTTCAAAGCCTATATAATTATTTATTCATGTAAGTTCAGAGCTTCAAATGTGTGTACCATATGCAAAACTGAGAAAATACTTACCACTGCCTTATTATGAAATAAATGAGAATTACTTCCAGCTACAATATCTTTTTCCTGAAATTAAATTTATTACATTGTTAGGTAATGGAATTTCAACTTTCAAAATGCATTAGTGTTTAAATAACTTACTGCCTGTATGTAAGCTGACATGCAGGAGCGTAAAGTTGCAGGATTTTGTGTTATTGTAAAAAAGGAAGACAAATAGGCATTTCCTAAAATTGTCCAAGAAATACCATCTGTTGTATCAAGACTAACTGCTTCTTTAGCATGTTCCACTCCCTGCTGTATATTTTTTATTCGTAGCTCATTATTAGTAACTGATTCCTGTCTAAGTACCATAGACAGATTTCGTAGAGAAACTTTATTTCTACCCTATAAAATATAATATCATGTCAAATTATAATACGGATGATTAAGAAATTAATCAATAGCCAATTTATAAAAATATTACATGGCGTAAAGCACCAACAAAACAATTTTTTGCTTGCTGAATATCATCATTCTTCCAATAACACTCTCCTAATTCATTCCATGCTTCAACTAGATTAGGCTCTAATTTCACTGCTTTAGTTAATAATTCTTCTGCTTGAGGTATAAAATATTCTGTAACATTTAAGGCTTTTCCTTTCAGATAATAGTATCTTGCTCGTGACCCATCAATCTCATATCCTTTACACTCATCAAACTTGTTCAATGTATCTTTCATTTCCTTCTCTACATCTCCATGTTTCTTACCTGCTTCCACAATAGGACGATTTTCAAAATAATGATCTCGGAAAAAATATAAAGCATTTACTTTCTCCTGAAAATGTTAAAAGAAATATTCAAAAATGATGATAATTAGGTACAGATATAGAAAAGGTTAACTTGGGTAAAAGTAACAGGAATCTATTATGTACAAACAAATTTGTTCATTACATAAATTCTTAAATGAAATCAGTGTATGTACCGTCAGAGCAACAATGGGATCTTCTTTGACAACATTTGCGGATTGTGCTCCTGCAACCACTTTATCATCTATAATTGCGGACATTTTTTAAAATAATTTTCATAAAAAAATTATCACAAATATTTCATTGTGCGTCAAATATATATCACGTATGTAACTTTATACATAATTCACGACTATACGCGAATTAACGCTGGAACAAAGCAACGTAATCTATCATTCGCAAACTGTCAAAACTTCGATGTCAGATGAGGTTATACATTAAATTAACGCACCACTAACATAAAGTAGTATCCACAACTACGCTAATTAAAACCAATATTAATCACATTGCTTCTAATATGACATTTATCAATGAAATAAAATACTTGAAAAATTCTGTGCACAAAATGGGTATAGAGAATCAGAAAATAATAATATACAACTTGTTTACAATTTATTATTGTATATATGTACAGGGTGTGTCAAATGTTCGAGATTTTTATTAAACAGAAACCAATACAATTTTGTATATTTTAAAATTACTAGTACTACTTCGTAATATTGAAATTGAATTATTACCACAGATTATGTTCTCCTAAAAGTCAATTTTTCCGTGAAATATTCTTCAATCTCATCAATAAATCTCGATGTTACCCGTGTGGATCGATTTGACTAGAACACCTTGTATACTCGCATCAAGGTTCGTTTGCATTATCGCCGCGACGGTTCACGTGTAGTTCCTGTACCAACCGTGGCGCGATCGGCGCTACTCCCGCTACCACCTGCCGGGAAGTTCGAATGGGATCGACTAGTCTACCGCGTACTCTGTGACCGAAGCTCGGCCAGAAGGCTGCATCGTCTCGGGTTCGCCATTTTATGTGTTTGGCTCGGAGACTGGGACGGTGGGTGCGTGCGGTGCAAACATAGAGAGCGTATTCCGTGCACTATCCTGCAAGATGTTACCCAAATACTTTGCGCCCGACATGTATAAGTAACGACAGGTGTCGGAGTGAGTGATCGGGCAGCGAAGGCTCGGGCCGAAATGGTCCCGGAATAGTGAGCTGTGCGTGAGAGTGTGTTTTCATCGAGTAGTGCGTCGCACTGGCTTTCTCGCTGCTGTCACAGTTTGTTAATACCTGTGCCATTCGGGAAACTCGGCTTTGGGTCAGATCACAGACGGCCTCTGGATTCCTCGCGACACCCTCCCGTCACCATCTACGATGAGTTCGCGCAACATACCCTCCGACAAGGTGAGTCTTGTCACTTCGTTCTAACATGTCTACCGCACCCTTCCGCCTCCTCTTTCTCCTTTATCCTTCACATCCACGCAATCCCTGGGCCGGTGCTCGATACCGAGACCGCCGCGCGGTGCTGTGTTTCACTCGGTCGCGCTTCCACCCGCGCCAAGTCACGGCCACAGGGAAACCGTCAATGCGTAAAAATTTTTCCCACCTCGGATCAATGAGACACTTCGGTATCACGTCCACTCAGTTCCCCGTTTTTTTTTCCACGATTAAACAAACGGATGTGCACCCTCTCGCCGCACCGTGATATTCGTATCTCCGTTTTTCCATTTCTTTCGCCGTTGTCATATCCCATTATCTTTCCGCTTCCTCTGAATCTCTGTCCGCTCGAACCGATCCTCCTCGCCGCGGACACTCGACGCACAACTACTTACTAGCCAAGGGACGCAGACTCAACAGTTTGACGTTTAAAGTTTAACGAGTGAATCAAATCGCGCGCGCAATATAATTTTATGCTTGCCCGATGGTCCGTGAATCGGTGACAGGAGTTTTACGGTTCGGGAATACATAACTGGGTGGTAGTTCATCGCCTAGAGAAGAACGTACGATTTTTCATGCGATTTCCCCGTAATCGATGTCCCTGTGTGAATTAACGGTGATTAATTAACTTCGACTCCTTTCGCCGCAGTCACGATCCTGATAACGTTTCTGTCGTTTTCTTTTTGGTTACCTCCGCGTTAAGAGCTCACATTGTCGAAGTTCTGTGCTTTCGCCTCGTTCGCGGATACCCGTGAATTAATTGCGTCCGTGAAAGTCAGTGTCTGTGCGCGAGGAGCGTTCTCCACGCGCTTTGAGTTACCTGGATGGCGACGGGCGGGATTTTTACAAAGTCACAACTCCTCCGCGAAGTGCACTTCCGCGGGCCTGGTCTAACGAGCCTGTTTAATTGGCACCAATCGCATTACGCGCTGGATATAAGGGCTTTGTGGGCTCGCCCGTGCACATTTCGTATCCCCTGTCTCCTCCCGCCCATCGATTCTCCTTTTGTTTCCCGTCTAGGTATTATTAAATCAACGGCGACGCTCTAACCCCGCGGAATACATATGCACGCGGGTAGAGAGAATAGATCGACCCGGCCTATTCGCGGCTAAAAATATCACGGCCATCCAAAATTCAGTGGCATCGATAGACCGTAAAATAGATGCAAATATTTATGCGGCTCGATCCACAACGATTATGCACGACCGTGTTCCATCGGTATTCTCGTTCACGGCTTCCTTTCGCGATTAATTGCCGATATCGATTGCTCCTCGCCTCGCTGAATGAAGATTTATCGCGGCGGGGATTAAGCGGGCGAAAATACAGGGAAGACGGAATTGCCACGGACATTGAATTGTCCCGTTGTTCCGCGGCGGTCAATCTTTTAATTCTTTATGCCCGAAGGCCGACAGGCTCTTGACTAGACGTGAATCACGAAAGATCTACATAGGGACTGTATCCTAATTTAAACCGCCAATATACAGTTTGGAGTATTTCTTGATTCTTCAGTCACGAACCTCGGCTTCGATTCATAATTATTATTTCAATTCACAGAATTTATCTTATATTCCATTTACTCGGGATCTTTTTTATCTTGATAACAAGTTTTCTTGACTTCTGTGGATTATCGTATCCTCAGGCATAAGTTATGTAATTCGTAGAATGATAACAAGTGGAATAACACGTTTAAAATTTCTTGTGGAAGTATTAAAGTGTTATTCATCGTAAAATTTTGTATGAACAATTTGTTTAATATTTCATTTTATGTCCCATCTCGAACAAAAAAGGTATAACGTGTCAGAGGTAAAATTAATTTTCCCACACGTCGACGATGAGTTCGCGATGATTTCGTAAAAATTCACCGCGGTCGCGACTATTCAGTTCGAAACGCGGTCGCGTTGAAAAAAAAAAATCAAATACCAGCGTTCCGCTACGCTGACGGCGGGTTTTCAATTAAGAAATGTTTTCCGCGGAGAATTGCGGCTCCGAGAAGGTTAGTTTCGTTACAATTAATCGTGCAAATTGGAATTCATGGCGAAGTACTATTCCGCTGGCGCGACCGCGAACAGCCAGTCGGCTTTTTCAACTATCGATATAGTAACGATATTCTGTCATTAAATTATTTAAAGTCATCGTACAACTATTTAATCCGGGGGAAAAACGTGAAATATTCCCGAACGAATTTAATGAACGCTATAAACAACCGTTACTTTCCTTGATTCTTATCTCCTTTAGAAACTCATATTTTCTTGAATGAATCTTGTGGATGTTAGATGCTAATTGTGCCCCATTAATTTGTACTTTACTATTTGGAAATAAATCTTCACTAGAAAGGAAAGCGAACGAAATTTAGGAGCAATTCTTGTCTTCGTAAATTTTCATTTTATCAGAGGCGAATTTCCATTCGAATTTCACCGCTCGCGTGAAGAATTGATTTTTTATCGGTATAATCTTTAAGAAATTTCTTTCAATTCAGAAAGAAGGTTTAAAATTGCGTCGAGAACTGTTTCCCATTTATGAGCATTAGAGTTCCTCTTTAATGTTTCATATCTCTGTGAATAAATCAGCTATATATAATTTCAAAAAGAAAAAAAAAAGGAAACATGATTTTCGGGTTTCCTAATATCTCTTGTTAATCATCTTTTAATCTCAGCCATTTTTTCTTACTGTCAATACCATCGAACATAATTGAGATTATTACAACTGAAACACCCCTGTATAAACACCCCAGCTGAAATCGTTAAGAATCACTGCATTAAAATCCGCGCACCTCAATCCAGCATATACATATACACCGCATCCTCAAGGTATACATGTATACCGTGTCCGAAGCCTCTCAATCCGTGGTAGTTCTCACGGTTCATTCCCGCTCGGCGTATAGTACGTGATTTATCAACATTCGGTCGTTTGAAAAGTCACCGGGCCGAGGTCTGTATAAAGGCCACACACAGCCTCTGGTCCAAAGGAAGGAGAGAATACGTCTGGCTCGCGGACACGTCGGTTTCGCCCGCCATTGTCGTTGATATCTAGCAACCAAGGCCCACGGTCAAGGTCGATTAAAGAACAGAACGAATGTATTTCTTTCCTCTCTCGAGAAAAAAAAAGGGAGGCCACACGCCCGGCTAGCCTGGACAATACGAGATGTTTCTTCTAACTCGTACAATAAACCGTGACGAAAGTACCTCCCTCTTTCTACCCCCTTTTTCTCTGGTCTGCTGGCCCTCCACCCGCAAGAGGTAAAAATCGCGGTATCAAAGAACCTTGGGGGCTGGGCAGAAGGATCAAGACGAATCCACTTGCGTGTGAAACGTCTAAATCGATTTCCCGTGTCGACTCGAAAGAGATTCCTTATTTTCTCTCTCGTTATTTTTCTCCTACTCTTTTGTTCCCGTGCGTTCTCAACAGCATCAGCTCCCAGAAACTGACAATTCACGCTTTATCCCCGAAGAATCACGTGCGGATGACTCTTCGCGGATGGTGTTTCCACGGGTGAGACCCGATAAAAACGGCTGACGCGACAACGACGGTGACGACGAGAGCTGTACTTCGTTCGCGTTTCACTTGCGAATGCTTAATCGTGTCGTAAAACGATGATTGTAAAGTCCGAGTGTTTATTGCGCGACAACTGGCTGCGTCGAGAATGCGAATTAATTGAGGACAAGGGAGGGGGGGGGGGCAGAGAAAGAGTGAAGCGACTCGGAGAAAATGAGGGAGGCTGGGAAGCGTGTGAAAGGAACTGTAAACAGGGTAGATTGTTTTTGAACGTTTTAGTTTTATTGCTCGCGGTAAAGGACTAGGGTGACAATTACTTATGGTTTAATACTTCGAATATCTGATGTTCGAATTGTTGGAGTACCTGGATCAATCCTTAACCCCTTGGATACATGTGACGACTGAGACTTGTCATGCCAATCGGTATCAGTTTGACCCGATTCCTCGAAGTAGATCGACTTTTTCTAGCGTCTTGAATAATTAAAGTAGCTAGTCAAAGTTTTATACTTGGGAGTACCGTAACTTCTTTTGTCTTCTAGACAAGGGAGTAAAGTTCCGGGCACTAAAGATTTTCAACTTCTTTGATATTGATTAACTGAGATTTCTACGACAAAGGTAACACAAAATAATAAGAAAGGTTCATTCCCAGACCAGTTTACTTCACTTGAATAATTAAATTCATCGTTAAAAGTATTAGATTCTTCAATAAGTTTCTGCAGTTTTGATTTTCGAAAATATATAACATTTAATTTGTTATATATCAGTCACTATCGTTGACGACCTCTTCCCAATGTAATAATTCCCAAAGATATCATTTACTCGTCACTCGATAGTTTCTAAATTAAAGCGTGATTGCTATCAACGCGAAATTTCATAGCAATTCTAGTACAGAACAGCAAAAACTATTCAATAGTATACAGCCAAAGTTGGACAGAATTTTATTCGAATAATACCCAGCGAAAAGCAGCAGTATCTAAGGGTGTCGTTCTGAGCTTTAAACAGTGTTAACGAGATTAAATAATTGTTCGACAAATGACAATTCATTCATAAAGAAGTATTATTTTATTATAAAAATTAAAATTTCCACGTTTAAACAATCAAAAATGACGAAATACTTTTTTTTATCTTTTATTTGTTATTCGAAACTTCTTATCTAGATAATTAGTTTGCGTATCTCTGTATACAGCACATCGCGTACAAGTAATCCTTATTAGAAACTCATTACAAAACGAAATCCGCACGAATTTATATCTGATATTACTCCAACAACACTTGACTCTTCCGTCATCCAGATCAAAGAAACAGTTTATTTCTAATACGTCCTCCAGTCTGTAATCCTCTTCAACCAGTTTCGAGTAGGTACAGGGATACCTTGAAAATCCAACTGACGAGTCCATCGCCGACTGTATGCGCCGACCCAGTGTACCATTCAGCTAGGCCGCAGCCAGAACCGAAAGGCCTAGAAACGGTTTTAC